TAGCATGCCTGGATTTCCCTAAAACACAAGTCTTGCCTCTTAAGTTTCATTCCTTGATTCCTTTTGTGTTCTGTATTTCTGGTTAAAGAAATGAATATATATCCTCTAGTTGGGTTCTCCTTTTCCCAAAAAAGTTCAGAATTAAGTTTATGTTAACATCATTAATTTACCAGGTCGCTGTCTTCCGCTAGGAAAATTCGCAGATAAAACAGGGCTCCTTCAGGGGTGGGAACCCTTTTTTCTGCCAAGGACCATTTGGATATTGATAACATCATTCACAGGCCATTTAAAATTATCAACTTAAAAACTAGCCTGCTATATTTGGTCAGGCATTTCATTAACTCACCCCTAATGCCTTGGCAGGACCAGACCAAATGATCTCGGGGGCCTTATATAGCCCGTAGACCAGACGGTCCCCACCCCTGATTTAGAGGAACTTAAAACTAGTTGTGGAGACATACATAATTACAAAACGGTGTGATGAAAGCTGTACTGAGTATATGAACAGTGGGAGCTACTGGCTAGAGAATAGGGGAAAGCAGAGATGGAATTTGACTTGGCTTTTGAAAGATGAGTAAGTTTTCTGGAATTCCAGGATGAGAAACCAGACTTGGCTTTTGAAAGATGAGTAAGTTTTCTGGAATTCCAGGATGAGAAACCAGCATTGCAAAGTCAGAGTACAGCATGTTCTGCATGCAGGTATATAGGCTAGAGTGAAAAGTGATGGGTAGGTTTGGGTGATCTGAAGCCTTGGATGTCACCTAAGACATTTGGACTCTGGGTAGTCAGGAGCCACAAAATTTTTTATATAAGAATCATATTTTGGTCTTTAATAAGATAATTCTAAGTAAACCATAAAGAAAAATGTATAGTTAAAAATTAAAACAGAAATAGCTCAGGTGACAAATTTAGGTAGAATGATGCCCAGCTTCTAGCTCAGTCTACTAAATTTGTGGTACTGTCTTTCATTATAAAGATAAATCTAGAGATATACTGTCCAGTAGATTAGGCATGTGTGGCTATTTAAGCTTAAATTAAAATTAAAGGCTCAGAGCCACATGCAGCCTTTTTGGACATTCTGAAACAGTAAGTTATTTCCATCATTGCAGGAAGTTCTAGTCGACAGTGCTGGTCTAGGAGAACAGAAGGCATTGAGTGTACAGATACAACTGTCAGAAGAGAGTCCATAGAGAATGGTGGAAGGGGAGCCATTAAACACTGCAAATAAGATCTTTCAGAGAAAGGTGTCAAAAAAGGACAAGTCGCCCTGACTAGATTGGCTCAGTGGATAGAGCGTCAGCCTGCAGACTGAAGGGTCCTGGGTTCAATTCCGGTCAAGGGCACATGCCTGGGTTGCAGGCTCAATCCCCAGTTGGGGGCGTGCAGGAGGCAGCCAAGCAATGATTCTCTCTCATTGTTGATGTTTCTCTCTCTCCCTCTCCCCTCCTCTCTGAAGTCAATAAAAGTATATTTCAAAAAAAAGGAAAAATGGCCTAAGGGAAACTCTTTAAAAATATTTACAGTGTGAGATGTGAAGGAATAGGGTAGCTGGCACATGAGGAGTGTAGCAATGGTATGCATGGAAGGTAAGTTTCAGTACAAGGTCAAAAAGATAAGTAGTGATTTTGTTGGCAAGAGCAATTTCAGCGGAAGGTGAAAGCTTAATTGTAGTTTATTGACAAAAGAATGGAGAAGTAGAATATTTGAGAAGTTTCTTAAGCAGTAAAGTTATATCTTGAAGTGACTTAAAGCAGGAGAGGGGAGAAGATTGATCTTGAACTTGTTTGCTGGGGAGGGAATCTGTGGAGAAATAAAGCTTTTTGTTGGTTTGGTTTGAAATTTTGGACAAAGGAAAAATGTACCTTTGAAAGAATCAGAATATTTACTTTTAAAAAAAGATGGGGTGAAGTTAAGGAAGAAGGGAGGGAAGTTGAAAAAATACACATCTGCTAACCTTACCCATCAGTCTGCATGTTAGAGAAATGGGGGAAGAGAAAAGATGCCGGTAAGGAGGCTTAATGAAGTGGTAAGATTTGGAACCACAGAAGTTAAGGAAAAAGGACTGAAAGTAATGGCAATCCAGATCCTAGTGAGACTGGAATCCATAAATTATAGTGATTCCAGTTTACTCTGATGTGCTGTACTACAGTGAAGTTAAATTGATAAGAGTTGAGTTGAGGACCAGCAGAACAGAGAGAATCAAAGGGGGGACTAGCCTTCCTACTGGATTGCATATTCTTTGAGGGTAGGAACTTGCACATTTTCCCAGGAAAATCACTCGATTGTTTCAGGGCTCATCATCACATATGGTTCAAATAGATTTTTTTAGCCTTCATCTTTACAACTTAAAATATTTTTGGTATTTTCGTTTTAAATGTACAATAAGTAATAGAAATTTTGTACCAGGGAATTGGGGTGGGTGCTTTTAAAAAATAACATGTAAGAAGAATTTAACATGGCTTTCTAGATTTCTGTTGTTTCATATCTCCTTTCATTGCAACAGGTTTTCCGAAATTCTCTGTATCCACCAGATTATTCATCTCGTTTAGATATTGTAAGAGCAAATTCAAAGTCACCACTTCAGAGATCACTGTCAACTAAGTGTGTATCTGGAACAGGACAGGTAAGCTAGAAACCATAATTTAAAAAGAATTTGAGCCGCTGCCTTTGGGATTGTTCAGTACTAAAAATACTTCCCTTAAGTCATATGACCTCCTATAACTACCCTTTCTTGTCTCTTAGGTAAAATGATGTCAGATTGCACTAAGTGCAGCTCTGTTATTTCTTATATTATTGTGTATATTATAACACATAATATTCTCTAAAGCAGAACACTTCAGAGCAAAGGTGGAAAGGACAGGAGAATGCTAATCTAAATTTGTTCTCTGGTATAGTAAGAAGAGCAAATTCTGAAGTCAAACTGCTTAAGGTTTAAGCCCACTGTCACTATTAGTAATTATACTTAAAAAGGGCTTTTCCTGAACATTATCATAGATCCAGCACCGATCTTTAGAGAGCCAATTTTCCCATTTCTTCCATATCCAGAAAGTCTAAATTACCTGGTATATAGAACATGAAGAGGTCAACCACCTTTCTCTCTAAAGGACCACAGAAAATAATAACAGATTTTGTGGGCTACATGGTCTATGTTCCTCTATCCCAACTAAGAGCAGCCATAAAGAATACATTTTTAAAAATCAAGCCCTAACTGGTTTGGCTCAGTGGATAGAGCGTCGGCCTGCGGACTAAAGGGTCCCAGGTTCAATTCCGGTCAAGGGCATGTACCTTGGTTGCAGGCGCATCCCCAGTGGGGAGTGTGCAGGAGGCAGCTGATTGATGTTTCTAACTCTGTATCCCTCTCCCTTCCTCTCTGAAAAAAATCAATAAAATATATATTTTTTTAAAAAAATCAAAATGGTCCTGACCAGTTTTGCTCAGTGGGTAGAGCATTAGCCAGCAGACTGAAGGGTTCCAGGTTCAATTCCAGTCAAGGGCACATCATTGATGTTTCTCTCTCTCCCTTCCTCTGAAATCAATAAAGATATTTTTTAAAATAATTTGAAAAATAAAAATGGCTGTGCTGTAATAAAACTTTATTTTTTAAAGAACAGGCAAACTGGGCCATAGCTTGCCAATTCCTAATTGAGAGAGCTGTGTTTTCATATCTGCCTTCAGAATTTAAAATTGAGCAAAATATTTTCAAAATACAACTTTTAGGTAAATTCGACCCAGTACTTTTGTTTTCATCTGACTCTCCTCTAAGCATTTGCTTACTACTTTATATTCATGCATCTCTCCCCTTAAACAACTTACATTTTTATGATTCCAGCATTTAGTGCTATAAACAAACTAAATAAATTTAGTATTACAGTACATATAAAGTTTTGTGTGACGTACAGTTAATGATGCTACCCAAGTTAGCTAACATCTGTGTAGCACTTTAGATATCCCAGGGTTTCTCAACCTGAACACTATACAGAGTTGGAGCCAGACAACTTGGTGGTGGAGGGGGTAGTAGTGGCCTGTGCTTGTAAAGATGTTGAGCAGCATCACTAGTCATTACTAACAAGAGACTAGTAACACACACACACACCCAGTTCTGACAGTTAACAGTGTCACCAGACATTGCCGAATGTCCCCTAGGAGGTATAATCACTCTCAGAAAGGTTTGAAACAAGATGACCCAAGTGATAATAGTAAGGACTTGATGCTAAGTGATGAATTTTGTTTATCAACTCATTCCATTTAAAACACACTATTTTTAAAGTTTAATATTTCAGTTGCCTTGTTGAAATATCCTTGTTTTTGCTATCCCTTTGATCATTCTCATTCAAATACCTGTTTTGAAACCCAAGAATTGTTTAACCTAAACTTATTTTGACATTCATAATATACTGAGACTATACTTTTTACTGAAAGTATTTTATGTTATTGAAGTACTGGTATCCTACTGGAATGATTAATTTCACATTTTTATTCAAAAAAATAACAAGCAAAAAATCTTTTGACTGTTCTTTACCTTAAAATACAGTAATTCATAGGGAATTTTCATTACTAAAAATTATTACTTAGATTTTTCTGAAATACTTGTCCTATGTACCATTCTCTGTAAGGGCACATTTAAGATACCAAGCATGTAAAAATATTTTTAAGTTAGAATTCTTTAAAATGTGCTTTTTAACAGGTACCCACTTGTCGACTACGAAAGGATCAACAAGCAGACGATGATGAGGAAGAGGATGAAGACTTAGATGTAACAGAAGAAGAAAATTAATTTTCTTAAACTTCACATTTCCATTTTTATCGTAAATGCCTTGGAATCCAGAATTACTAAATTGTAAAACTTTATACTGGCTTGATACAATCAAACTTCAAAATGAAATCCTTCTAGTAATGTAAAATAAATTTATGTTGACAAAAAATGGAGGCTTTAAAAAACATTACACACCAGTCATTTCAACATCCTGTCAAGTGGTATGTGATCATTTTGTATAGGTTCCTTTTTTTTTTTAAGACTATGTATTTTAAAAGTATTTCATATTAATGCACTATATATTACCTAGTTGAGGTTGCAATAGTAAATAGGTGACAAAAAAGAAAAATATTTAACAATTCCACTGGCTTCTCTTAGGTTAAGACACAAATTCCATTCCATTAAGCCTTAATCAAAAAGACATCTTCTTTTTTTCACTTTTACTAAAACCTGAAATTCCTTCATTTAATACATAAATTTACTTTTCAACAAGAGTATAGTCACTCTTGATTAAAAGTAATGGAAGTCTAGGGTATCAGTGTTTTACAACTATACACACAGTATATATTTCAGCTTTTTTATAAAGTAAGCCACATTCAGCCTGATTCTGGTTTTACAGCAAAACTATCATACTAAAGTTGTGGTACTACAACTTCCAGGAACCTGTAATTTGGTGAAATGTTGCCTATGAAAGCATGGAAAACCATAAGTCATTAAACATTCTATGAAAAATGCTACCAAATTACCATCTAATAAAATTGTTTTAATATTTCACTTATTCCTGAAAAATTAAAACAGTTTAATCAGAGCCTTTCAGTAATGCTGCTGCTTTTGTTTCTTTGGATAGGACATTGTACTTTATTTCATGGGTCCCAGTCCAACATATAAAAACTATGAAATTTATAGTCATTTGGGAAAACTACAGAAAAATAAAGACTTTCTAGAAAGCTTTTTTGACTGTTATTCATGGTTCTGTTCTTAACAAAGCACTGCTTCCTGAGAATAGTCCTATGTGGTAAAGTTACTTAAGAACTGTAAAATATTCAACACATTTTAAAATCCTAAATTGATATTAAGAAATTGAGGATATTATTGCATTTTTATGTCCCAGTATTTAATCTTGGTGTTGCACTTGAGGAAAAAAACAGTGTTGTAGTATTTATCTTGCTGCTTACAATAGCAAGTCACTTTCTCTTGAGCATCAGTTGCCCTTTCTGTAAAGTCAAAACAGTGTCTGATATATAAAGCAATTAGCAAATGATTCTGATATAAAATGTATGCTTTGCTTACCTCAAAGAAATATTCTGAGGACAAAAGGATACTATAGATGATAATACCTTTCATCAATGTAAAATTAAGTTTCTTTTAGACCAAATAGAGATTGGCAAACTTTTTCTTTAAAGGCTAGATGGTAAATTTTTTATATTCATGGGCCAAGAGACAAAAATCAACCATTTAAAATGTAACAATCTTTAAAAATGTTAAAACCTCTTTTAGCCTTCTTGTAAAAAAGGAAACAACCACCTCAACAAGTTACATAGCCTACTTCTTATCTCCAAAACAGGTTTTAGGTTCTTAGGTTACTGGGATTAAATGATATAGTTAACACATATATAACTACAGATCATACATATATATTACCTAATGCAGCTCAATAAATGATAGCTAACATTTAATACAAACATGGAGGTGACAGAGTCACTCCTTAATAGATGATATACAGACTAAGAACCACTGCTCTTGACCATGTTCTCAGTAATTGATAAAAGTCGACTCCTAAAAAGATTACCCAACTACTGGTTATGGGATTGGTTACTTCCTATATGTAACTGGTATTTTTCACATTAAGAGAAAGTAAACAAAACTGGCTATGAGATGATAATTACTGAAGCTGGATGATGGGGATATGAGGATTTAGCATATTATTCTTTTATGTGTTTGAAATTTGGTGGTTTGCTGGTAAGCTGGCTCTCTAGAATAGAAAGCACCCCGATTTGTTTCATTTGCCAATTTCCATGTTGTAAAACTCCATGGCTAATTTCAATCATTAACATATCACTGGAGGCAGAGCTGGGAAAGATGGGAAAAAATGGCTCCCAACCAATAGAAGACAGCTTTGTATAATAAACTTTTTAAAAAATTTTTTAAATATATTAAACTGATAGATTATGGAATAAAATTATTCATATCAATTCATTAATCTTACATTTGTAATCTAAATACAAAGCTTATGTTTACATCTCGCCAGGTGACTCCGTTGTTTGGAGCATCCTGAACACCAAAATGGTTATGGGTTTGATCCCGGGTAGGCACACTTATGGGAGGCAACTGATCTCTCTCACACTGATGTTTCTCCCTCTCTCCCCCCACTAAAATTAATAAACATACCCTCCGGTAAGGATTTTTTTTTAAAGCTTATGTTTACTATTGTTGGCCTCAGCTACCACTATCACACCACCCCAGCCTACTTTCAGCAGTTCCACATTGTGATATTTCACTTTTTAAGCTTCATTTTAGCTTTTGGTATGTATTTAGTATGTTTTTGTCTCCCATACATTCCTTAGGAATGCTGGTCAAATGAACCATCTATATAATCTTTTAGCACTTAAAAATATCTATTTTGTTCATTGTGCTTGGTTTGGGTATTAGTTTATCATTTTCCTAGCTACTTAAAAGCTTACTAATTTAAGGAGTCATACTGATGTGCTTTTTTTTTTAAAACAAATTTACCAGTTTACTCATTCTAGCAGCAAGCAGGATATTCACTATTAAAAAAACAAAACACAAAGTTGGCTTCCTTTGACTTTAAATCACTGAAGATGAATCCAAAATACTTAGAGTACTAACTGACGAAATATATTCTACTTCTGCAATACCCTATTACTAAATAACTACAGTATATAAACTCAAATTTTATACTTATTTGCTCAATGTGGATAATCTCTGGATCACAGAATTAAAAAAATTAACTTCCTTTTATGTAACTATAAAAGCCCACAATCAAATTTAGTTTGGTAAAATGAACAATTTAAATAAGCCAATATGTAATGTTAGTATACAAGAGAAACCCTCGATATATAAAAACTTTTAAAGTTACTTTGTTTATTAACAATGTTTGAGAATACTAATTTTTATTTTTAACGCTATTTTTAAAACAATGGAAGTAAGAAAATAGGGCTCATGCTTGAAAATATTTTTAGCATCGTCTTACTAAAATTTAAAGTACCATTTAACAAAGTTAGCAGGCAAAAGTGTTAAGAACATGAACTGAAGTCAGCAGTGAGTCTGTTCTAACTGGCTCCATGATTTACTAGCTATGATTTAAAGTATTATTTAACCTCTCCAAACTTCATTATCTCATTTGTGAAGCAGGGGTAAATAATACTCATGATTCTTATCATACCGAGATCGTGCATGTAAAGCACTTATATTTCCTAGCACACAGTAAGTGCCCAGTATTTTTTAGCCATTATTATTATGGGTATAGAAAAATCAAATCCAGTATTTGCAAAAATGTCTACACTAAATATTGAATATCAAAGTCAAAATTCAATCTCATAAGTCTCATTATATTTAGTAAGTCTTTTGATACAAAGTTTTGAATTTTAAAAAATGAGAACCTAAGAGTAAATAGAAGTTATATGGATCATCAGAAAATTCTTCCTAGAAACACAAACTATATCCATTTATCCGTTGTTCCCAGCAGAAGCCTGAAAGTCTCCTTGAATCTACAATTACTTTTTGTCTTTTAAGTATTTTGAGTTAAATTATCAGTTTGTTTGATGAGATGTTGAAGAAATCATAGAACTATACATAACACTCTGAACTAACATAAATATTTAATGTAGCTGCTGAAAAACTTCACAAAAGAAGCTGTAATTCTTTTCACCTTTTATACAAATACAAGTTAATTAGTTGGTCTCTCCAGTTTTAATTTTTTTTATTTTTATAAAACTTTTCAAGTTATGAACATAGAAACTAAGAATCTCCTAACTTTTTTACATAAGTAAATTTCAAGTTCACAGTATGTTCATTTTGAAGTATTGATAATGGGAAGCTTAACAGTAATATCTCAGACAAGAAAGAGGGCATTAATTCTGCAGGCAGTCCCCATGAAAATGTTAAACCTGAACAACCAGTTACTGACCATTTCCTTATACATTTTTAGTAAAAGATGCAGACTACAGAATGCAAACAAAAGTGAATATAAAATGTATCTTATTCAAATACAGCTCTACTTCATACAGGTCTTGAGGTTTACCCAGGATAGCAACAAAAAAACTAATGCATTCAAGGAATTAGTCCTCTTCCCTACTGCCAATCAACAACCAAAAAAACAAAAGAAAACCATATAATTTTAATTAGAAAAAAAACGACAATTTGCAAGCAAAAGAAAACCAGACTTACATTCTACTACTTACATTTGTTCTAGTCACAGGTCAATTTTAAAAGGTTTCATTAGATAATTAAAATAAACACTTTTAAAAAACATGAAAGCATTTTACTGCATCAATACTGGGAAGAGGTAACTCCGACTTCGAAAGTGCTCGCTAGAGCAAAATTAACCGAACCTTGCGCGGGCCAACTGGCCTATCATTTAAATCTTTAATAGCAGCCATGGCTTCATTATAGTTTATCATAGCAACAATGGCTTCCCCTGTAGGTAATCCTTGCTCAGTATACTGTATCCTAACTGAATCAGGTATAATTCTGTAACCATGGAAAAAGTCTAGAATTTCATTAACATTAGCTTTAAATGGAAGATTCATTATCTTAATAGGTGTTATTCTACCTGAACTACAATTTAACTTTGGATCAGGCATAAATCTCCCCTCAGGAAAACTTCCCACGTTACGCTTTCCAAAATCAAATTTGCCACCTTCTGGGCGACCAAAATTCACAAAAGGGCGATGACTTCTAAAATCATCGGGTGGGCTCCGGAACTCATCCCCCGGCGGCCTGAAATGGTCCAGAAGTCTCAAGTCCTCCTCCGGAGCCTCCCCGCGCTCTTCCTCCGGGAGCCGCCTGAAGTCCTCATCAGCAGGGCGTCTGAAATCTTCCTCCTGGGGGCTCCGGAAGTGCTCCTCACGGGAGTGCCTAAGGTCTTCATCCGGAAGGCGCCGGAAGTCTTCATCCCGGGGGCGCCGGAAGTCTTCATCCCGGGGGCGCCGGAAGTCTTCATCCCGCGGGCGCCTGAAATCCTCCTCCATGGGGTGCCTGAAGTGATCCGGGGGCGGCCTCCGGAAAGGCTCCTGCCGTCGGAAGTGCTCCTGGGGCGGCCTCCGGAAGTGCTCCTGGGGCCGCCGGTGTTCCAGGGGCGGCAGCCGCCGCAAGTCCTCCTCAGGAGAACACCGGAAATCCTCCTCGGGAGTCCGCCTGAAGTCTTCCTCCCTGAGCCGCCTGAAATCCTCCTCCGGGGGCCGCCTGAGGTCCTCCCTGGGTCGGCGCCTCCACTCCCCCTGGGGAAGCCGCCTGAAGTCAGCCTCGGGGGGTCGTCTCCAATCCTCCTCCGGGGGGCCCCTCCAATCCTTCTCCAGTGGCCGCCTGAACTCGCCCTGGGGAGGTCGCCTCCGGTCTTCCTCCGAGGGCCACCTCCAGTCCTCGGGGGATCGTCTCAAGTCCCTCCTGGGAGGACTGAAATCGTCCTCTGGTGGCCGCCTCCAGTCCTCCTCCCTGGGGTGACGTAAGCCCTCTTCCCGATGGTACCTGAAATCCTCCCAGCGGCGTCTCAAGTCCTCCTCGGGAGGCCTCCGGAAATGTCCCTCTCGCCGGTGCCTGAGGTCCTCTGGGGAGCGCCTGAGGTCTTCTGGAGGGCACCGCTCAGGGCGCTGGAAATCCCCCTGGGCATGCTTGAAATTGTCCGGCTGCCTCACGTCTTCCTGCTGATGCCTAAAGTTTACAGAATGGCCCCTTGTGTATCCTGGTGGGTCATTTGAGTCAAATGAATGGGCAGGGTCTTCTCTATCACGTGACTGTGAATGGTCTTGCCTTCTCTTACTGGAAAAATTTACACCAAACTCCTGCATTTGTGCTTCAGATATGAGTCTTAACAATACCTCCGTCCCCAAGAATCTTCGACGATTTAGACGTTCGGCTTTCATGGCCTGTTCTTCTGATTTGAATTTCACCAATGCTTCTCCCAGACCAACTCCTTTGTCATCATAAAGCAAGTAAATGTCATCCTCAGCAAGAGAGAAGTCTGCAAAGAACTTCTGCACTTCAGCTTTTGTAACATCAAATGGAAAATTTCTTATATATATGCACAGTTTCTGGCCAGAGTAGCCTTCTTGAGAGTATTTTTGTGAAACACGTCCAAGCTTCTCTTTCTCTATTGATGCTGGTCTTTTCTTTTCATAACATTCAATGAACTTCAACATTTGTTTTCTAGAAATTGGATCAACAAGAACTGGACGATATTGTAAAACAGTCTTATGTAAACCCAGAGCACTGTTATAGTCTTTCAGAGTCTTGAACATCACAAAGGCATATCTTGTTCTTCTTTCATCTTTATATAAAAACCTAATCTGTTCATTAGTCAGATCAGTATCTCTAAAGAAATTCCTTAAATCTCTTTTGTTAATACTTAGGGACAGGTTTTTTAAGTGAACGTAAAACCCGAGAGGGGAACGAGAACGTGTTCTTCTGGGAGATTTTGAATGAGATCGTTTTCGAAAATGTCTATCAGTGATTTCTCTTGGTGGAGAATGTTCTTCAGTTCTCACAGGAATGTCACCCTCCTTAACTGAACTACCACCAAAATCAATCCACTGTTGTTCTGAGCCTTGCATTACTTCTATAAATCTGGAACCCATATAACTTCTATGACATTTAAGACCTCCTGAAGCATCAATACATGAAGCAAATTTTACCATGGCATGACCATTATTTCGGCCATCATCATGTTTTAAGAAAATTACTCCATCCACACACAAACCAGAAAAAAAGACACGTACATCATCTTCATTTACTACGTAAGGCAAACCTCGTAGAAACAAGTAAGGATTCACAGCCTTCAATGGCCGTGTCTTTCTTGGCCTTAAATCACCATGTCCTGTACCATTAGCATGAAACCCAGCATCTTGATTCATCGGAGAGCCATATCCAGAATTACTTGCTTCTTCTTTAACATCTTCAACAAAATTACTTAAGCAGCCAACCCTTGATGCCCCAGATCCTGGCCGCTCTCTTCCTGTGTGATCAGTTCTTTTCATTTCTAGAATCTTCTGCATTTCTGCCTTACTGCTAAGAAAGAGCTCTACAGATGAATCCTTGATAAACCCTCCAGAACGACTTACGGCACGTCTTGCATCTTCATCTGTTGCAAAAATAATAAAAGCCTCCCCCTTTTCCCCTCCAATTATATGCACTCCTCCATCAGGAATAGTCAATCCCGTGAAAAAGTGACGAACATCCACAGGCCCAGCAATAAAAGGAAGCCCCAGTAAACGGATGACTACAGCCATGCTGAGCTCAAATCACAGCAATAATGACCTGCAGACAAAAAGGTACACATAATAGCAAGTCTTATTTTTGAAGTACCTTATCCCACACTAAGCTTAATAATTACTTGGTTCCTACCTTCTTCAGCATATATAAATGAAAACAAAATACAAGTTAACAAAAATATTGACTGCATCCAATTTTTAAAAAAGGAATAAACTTCCTCCTATCTAAACATCTAAATAAACCAACTACTTCAAAGATACATTTTCATATCACCTATCCTATATAGTATGAACAATAAAAGTATCAAATCTTCTTGTAAGTCTGCCAAGTGCTGCTCCACACCAAGACCAAACTATTTTCAAACTCACTAAGAAACATATCTTCTATTGACACATAAGAAAGAACTTTGTGGTTTAAAGAATTTTACCACAAGGAATTTTACATATTTACAAAGCCATCTATGGTCAGTATATAATTTTTGCTCATAAGTTGCTTACCACTAGTGCATCACTGGCCAGACATAAAGTACAGAAGGCATGGATACCTAAGATGTATTATTTTACTTTTACTTTTTTTTGTCAAGCCTCTGTAAAAAGCCTTAAGCTCTGAATATCTTACCTTTTTATTATTTCTTGGAGACCTGTTAATTCTGTAAAAGCAACTTAACTGTGGAAAGAAAATGAAATATAATTAATCCCAGGACCCTGTAACTGATCTTAAACAACGCCAGATTAGGATAGTCACTTCAGAATGACCTACTTAAAAAGTGAAGGAACCACAACTATGGACATTACAAGATGACCTTTTTTATTCCAAGAGGAAATGAATCATCCTTTAGCAAAAAGGAGGTACACGTTCAGAATAGACATCTGCAAGTTACTTAAAAACAAAAGACTTTCATAAACTAAACTTGAGATGGTACAAGGAAAGGCATGATGAAAATGTTATATATTTTAATTGGAGTGTAGGTTACATGGGTGTATAAATTTATTAAGACTAAATGAATTCTATCATTAAAGTCTGTGCATTTCACTGTATATAAATTTTACATTCACTTAAAAAAAAAAAAACTGCTCCACAAGTAAAATGACAATTTAAAAACACCAGAAAATTCCCAAAAACTTTCAGTCTCTTCCAACCATGAAAAGACCCAACACCTAACTTATGTCTGACTCTCTTGCAATTCTCCTCCCTTTCAAAACATAAGACCAAATCAAATTTTTAAAAAACCATTCAAAATGACAAAATAAATTAATAAAACACTAACATTTCAAATTCAAACACTAATTTTTAAAGCAAAATCCAAACAATGGCTATCATTTGGATACAATGCTAAGTTCTACATACACAGCTCACACTTCCAAACATGGAACAAAATATAATTAAGGCAAATAGTAAAATATCCCTAAAATCAAAAATCTCAACTACTACCACTCCCTATCTTAAACTCAACTACTACTCCTTAAACTCCTAAAAGAATTACTATTAATTCACTTCAAGCCATAACCCAGCGGTTCTCAACTTGTGGGTCGAGACCCCTTTGGGGGTCGAACAACCCTTTCACAGGGGTCGCCTAAGACCATCGGAAAACACATATATAATTACAAATTGTTTTTGTGATTAATCATATGCTTTAATTATGTTCAATTTTTAACAATGAAATTGGGGGTCACCACAACATGAGGAACTGTATTAACATTGTTTGCGGGTAGTTTTTATCGCGCGCTAACAGGTGGCGCGGGCCATTTTTGCTAATTTTTTGCGCAAATGGCAACGTTCAGTAAAATTATGATAACTTTAGTTTACGTATTTATACGTTACCTGCATTCTACCACTAATCTATAAAAAACGTATCCCGCGTCTATAAAATACGTGTCCTGCGCTCTACTACCAGTCAACGTAAAACGTATGAATACGTTTCCCGCATACAATGTGTTAAAGGGTTGCGGCATTAGTAAGGTTGAGAACTACTGCCCTAACAGGTTTGGCTCAGTGGATAGAGCGTCAGCCTGCAGACTAAAGGGTTCTGAGTTTGATTCCAGTCAAGGGCTTGTACCTTGGTTGTGGGCACATCCCCAGTGGGGAGTGTGCAGGAGGCAGCTGATCAATGTTTCTCTCTCATCAATGTTTCTAACTCTCTATCCCTCTCCCTTCCTCTCTGTAAAAAATCAATAAAATATATTTAAAAAAATAAAATTCACCTCAAGCCAAACAGAAAAATGTTCAGATAATCTCCTTAAGCTATGTCCTGAGTACTAAGAAGAAACACAAATGACAATGTAGGAAAGTAAAAATATAATAAAAATACATTAATTTGGAATGTTTGGGAACTATCAGTATTAACTACTGAAAAATCCCAACTTAGTGTTTCTTTAAGGAAATTCACATCTAATACTTTGAGATACCCAAAGTAGTCTTTCCAAATAAGTTTTTATGACCTGCTAATAATTATAAATTTGTTCTTAATGGGCAAATAAATGTTGTTTTAATTCGGTACTTACAGTTAAGTACTACTCTTCCACAAAGTAGGATCTGAAGATGACTTTAAGGTCTACAAAGTTTATTTTCTTTTGAAAAGGGTCCATTGGTTAAAAAAACTATTAGCTAAACTAAAAAAGTTATCAAGAAATTATTTGGCACAGTCTACATCTTAATGATATTATCAATGTCAAATTGGTATTAAAAATATTGTGATTTACTATTAGAATATTTGCATGGTAGGTATATGGAAATCTCTGTACCTTCTATTCAATACTGCTGTGAACTTAAAAAAACACTGCTCTAAAAAAATATGTATTTAAAAGAAAAATCTGCACAGTATCAAAAAAAATCAAGTACAGCCTAATTTATTCAATATACCAACATCCACACCAGCAATTTAACAAAAACTATAAATGGCTTCTGGAATAGTTGTTTCCATTCAAGTTCTGAGACTCCTTCTTATGCAAACTGAGTTAGCTCCTTTTTTACTTTTAAAATATTTTAGAAAGCAGTGTAAGTACACATCATTTGTCCTTGCCAAATTTTTATTATTTTATTTTTTAAAAGATTTATCCTGAGAACATAAATAAATCTACAAGAAAAGTTGGGGATGTTTTAATGAGTAATTATATGTCAAATTCAAAAGATTTCTAGTAATATATCCCAATTTAAAAACAATTATTTTAACTAAGTAGTTAAAATGAGTGCAAATTTTATAAATTCAATTTAAGCAGACTATATAAAAATTGTTTCAATTTGTCACAATTAAATATAACAAATGCTTAAACTTTTTTGCCTTGAGATACTTGGGCAGTGGCCGGCAAACTCACTGGTCAACAGAGCCAAATACCAACAGTACAACGAGTGAAATTTCTTTTGAGAGCCAAATTTCTTAAACTTAAACTATATGGGTAGGTACATTGTTATTAACTTAATTAGGGTGCTCCTAAGCTGGCCTTTGCTAAAAACGTCCTCAATCCGATTGAGGTACATTCGCTGAGGTCGACCCCTTCCAACTCTCCCATCCACACTCGTCTTGTATGCTTGTTTCACCTGTCTCCTTTCGTTCATCCTCTCTATATGTCCGAACCATCTCAACATACCTTTCTCAATCCTCGACACTACATCTTCTTTCACTCCACAACGTTCCCTAAAATTAACTTCATAAACTTTACTTAAAGTTTTAAGTCTTAGTTAAACTATAGGTACGTTGAATAAAACTTGATATCATACTTAATAACTATATTATTTATTGATAAAATTAAATTCCTTACAATTTACCTTACCATATCCATAAAATTGCATCATGACAATGACTGGCCCAGGACGAAGCCCACTTCTGCGCATGGGCCACTAAGTTTCAATTGTACTCTACGTGCGGGCGCGCCGCACGTGGTGTTTTGTGGAAGAGCCACACTCAAGGGGCCACAGAGCAGCATGTGGCTCCGGAGCAGCGGTTTGCCGACCACTGTACTAGGGTAATGTACCATTTCTCTCTCTATAATAACGTAAGAGACCACCAACTACCTAGTCAAGAGATCAGTTCTCAAAATAAGCACTTTTCCTGTAGTTGCCATGTAATTTCCCTAAGTAAATTTTGCAGAACTTCTATTCTTAGAACATCACACAAAAAAACAGAACACAAATACTCTAAAGCACATAAAGTTTTACTACTTCTGAATGCAATACAAGTACTTTTTGTAACTGCTGATCTAAAGACGGAGATAGGTTAGAACTTCTAACCTATGAAAAGAAGGAAATGGGTCCTTAAGAGCTCATTTAAGGGCAAGTCAGTGAAATTAATAAACTTATTATGCTGCTATTTTTAGCCAAAATTCATCCCCCTAATACCATTATCACTAAACAACAAGAAATGAGTATATTCTAATCAAGCCGGGGGGGCGGGGGGGGGTGGAGGGAGGGCTGGAGGAGGGCTACATTTAAAAAGGCACGATTTCAGATCCATTTGATTTTAACTAGTGAATAACGAGTCATTTTCCAAACGTGGTCAAGGAGAGAAAAATGCGACAGCTTCTTAAAGCCCAGAGTTACGATAAAGCACCTTCAAACTCTAAAGGCGTGAGTTTCCCCTGCAGAAAAGAACCTACCCCTTGTCCCCAATTATTCGTTATGATGACCTGCCTTTTATCCTTTAATAATGTAGATGGTTAAAACGGAAACCAAAGGCATGAAGGTACAGAGCCGGGGTCCCCAACAGGCACTGAAAATGAAGACGACTCCACGTGGCACGGGTTTTTCCCAAACACATCCATCCATCCCCAACCGGGGAGCAGCCGGGGGCGCAGCTTCCAGGGCCCCACGGCCTTTGTCCGGCTCCCGGGGGTCGGGGCTTCCTGCTTTCGCGCCAGGCCGGCGTCGCTCTGCACGATCCGATGCCGTCGGCGGAACCTTCGGACAAAACCAGCTTTCACGTTAACCTGGACCGCCCCACCTCCGTGCCTTTCCGTTACCGGGAGCCAAGGGCACACATTCCACCGGAACGCGCCGCGGGGCGCACCGCTCGCTCCCACGTCTAACGCTCCGGCCCCTTCTCCTGCGCCTAACGAGCCGGGCCTTCTTTCCGGCCAACACTGACTACGATGACAGAGCAAAGGGAGGGAAAAAAAAAAAATACCTAGGAAATCCGACGAAATCTTCACTTTAAAAGAAACCTGGGAAGCGCACACACAACAGCACGTGGAGGCTGACGGGAGAGCCGGTGTGGAGCAAGGGAAGAGGGTGCCCTAAGGGCAGAGCGGTGCCCGGCGCGGGCGGGCGCGGCGGCCGGCCCCGCCTTTCGCGGTTCTTCCGTCTCCGTGGCCGACCCCTCCCCACCCCCGACGCGCCCCCACGGTAACTGCCTTCGCGCTGGCAACAAGCACACACCGCTGCCGCCGAGCCGGACACACGGGCGGGGGGGTTGGGGGGGGGACGGGGAGGAGGAGGAGGGGGGACACTCCTCGTCGCGGCAGCCTTCCCAGAAGGGCCCCTCAGTGAACCTAGAAGAAGATGGCGCCCACTCACCCCTCCACTCCGGACAAACGGACGTACAGTTTGCCCATGCGCTCTCCCGGCGTCACCCACCGGCCCGGCGCCCCGACCAGGTTTGCGCACGCGCCGGGACGCTCACCCACTTCCTGTTGTCAAGGGGTGGGGGCGGCGCCAGCCCGAGCCCGCGCTTCGCGGAGCTTCTGCGCATGCGCAGATTCCAGCCAATCACGGGAAGGAGAGATTCCGAGCCAAAACTGGGAGGTTAATTTGTGGCTCTTCAGAAGCTTCGATAAAGAACTGCCTGAGTACAGCGCCCAAACGTTCCCGATTTCGAGGAGTTAAGGGGTGTAAAGGCAGAGAAAAGTTGGCGGTTTCTTTTTTTTTTTTCTTTACAGCGCTGCACAGTTATTTGTGTGGTGTAAACAACTTCCAAAAGGATCGTTGTAAACTCTTCAAAGGCCACAAAATGTTAGTGTTACTGCCTTTACATATTTCCCCAAGTGCAGTGCCAACACCCAGGTAGGCTTAATAAATGCATACTACATTCAACTTTATAGCCATTAATAACTTTATGCCTGCATTTGTTGATCGTGTTTTATGGTGTTTTGAAACCTGAGAACAAAGGCCAACCATGAAAAATGGGAAGTAAAAAGCACAGTTACGGGCATGTTCTGCAATGCCTGTTCTGTGATAGCTGGTGAACCACCTCGCATGTGATATTATTTTGTTATTTAAAAATCACAAAGCAGCCCACCATGTTCATAACTATATATGCATTTATCTGTTGATTCAAAAGGCTCACTAAGAAAGCAAACATCATATGTTTAAAGTTTACAGATGAGAAAGAAAAATTGAGTTTTCAATCCCTAGCTCACTGCAAAATACCCATTCTTTAATTTAGTGATATGATTGTGAGAAAGAAGAGGCAGTTTAACAAATGGACAATAGGTGGTTCCTGGAGTGAGAGTCACCATTTACTGACTTGGGCAAATTACTTATAGAAGTAAATACGTATCTGAGACTACATAAGTATAAGTGACTTTTTTCAAATGTCAAGGTGATCCAGGGACAAGCCCTTGGGAAGCTAGGCTCATTGAGTAGGTGGCATTGACATTGATTATTCCCCACAGTCCAGGGTTG